CATGACCCAGATAATCACGAAGGTGTGATCACTCACCTAGAGCCAGATATCCTAGAATGTGAAGTTGAGAGGGCCTTAGAAAGCATCACTATGAACAAAGCTAATGGAAGTGATGGAATTCCAGTTGAGCTATTTCAAATTCTGAAAGATGATGCTATGAAAGTGCTGCACTCAATATTCCAGAAAATTTGGAAAACTCAGCAGGGTCCAAAGGACGGGAAAATGTCAGTTTTCATTCCAATCCCAAAGAAAAGAAATGCCAAAGAATGCTCAAACTACTGCACAATTGCACTTATCTCACAAGCTAGTAAAGTAATGCTCAAAATTCTCCAAGCCAGGCTTCAGCAATACATGAACTGTGAACTTCCAGATGTTCAAGCTGGTTTTAGAAAAGGCAGAGGAACCATAGATCAAATTGCCAACACCCACTGGATCATTAAAAAAGCAAGAAAGCTCCAGAAAAATATCTATTTCTGCTTTATTCACTATGCCAAAGCCTTTGACTGTCTGGATCCCAATAAACTGTGGGAAATTCTGAAAGAGATGGGAATACCAGACCATCTGAACTACCTCTTGAGAAACGTGTATTCAGGTCAGGAAGCAACAGTTAGAACTGGACATGGAACAACAGACTAGTTCCAAATAAGAAAAGGAGTATGTCAAAGCTGTATAGTGTCACCCTACTTATTTAACTTATATGCAGACTACATCATGAGAAACGCTGGGCTGGAAGAAGCACAAGCTGGAATCAAGATTGCCGGGAGAAATATCAATAACCTCAGATATGCAGATGACACCACCCTTATGGCATAAAGTGAAGAAGAACTAAAAAGCCTCTTGATGAAAGTGAAAGAGTGAGAGTGAAAAAGTTGACTTAAAGCTCAACATTCAGAAAACTAAGATCAATGGCATCTGGTCCCATCACTCCATGGGAAATAGATGGGGTGACAGTGGAAACAGTGTCAGACTTTATTTCGCGGGGCTCCAAAATCACTGCAGATGGTGACTGCAGCCATGATATTAAAAGACACTTACTCCTTGGAGGGAAACGTATGACAAACCTAGATAGCACATTTAAAAGCAGAGACATTACTTCGCCAACAAAGGTCCATCTAGTCAAGGCTATGGTTTTTCCAGTGGTCATGTGTGGATGTAAGAGTTGGACTGTGAAGAAGGCTGAGTGCTGAAGGATTGGTGCTTTTGAACTGTGGTGTTGGAGAAGACTCTTGAGAGCCCTTGGACTGCAAGGAGATCCAACCAGTTCATCCTAAAGGTGATGAGTCCTGGGTGTTCATTGGAAGGAATGATGTTGAAGCTGAAACTCAAATACTTTGGCCACCTGATGGGAAATGTTGACTCATTGGAAAAGACCCTTATGCTGGTAAGGATTGGGGCAGGAGGAGAAAGGGATGACAGAGGATGAGATGGCTGGATGGCATCATCAACTCGATGGACATGGATTTGAGTAGACTCTGGGAGTTTGTGATGGACAGGGAGGCCTGGCGTACTGCAATTTTGGGGTCACAAAGAGTTGGACATGACTGAGTTACTGAACCGACTGACTGATGCATATATATATATATATATATATATATAATATATATATATATATATTCACACACACATATATATTTTTGGTGGTTTGGTCACTAAGTCATGTCCATCTTTTGCGACCCCATCAACTGTAGACTGCCAGGATCCTCTATCCATGGGATTTCCCAGGCAAGGATACTGAAGTGTGTTGCCATTTCCTTCTCCAGAGGATCTTCCCTACCCAGGATCAAACACAGGTCTCCTGCATTGCAGGAGATCTCTTGCATTGCAAGGGGATTATTTACCAACTGAGCCACCATGGAAGCTATATACATATATATATATATATATGTTATACATTTACTAGTTTAACACTCTAGGCCAGGTGAGTAGTTCTATTACAGTTTAAAGGACTTTATTGTTGGCAACAAAGTGTTCAAAATAACTAACATTAATGAGCACTTCAGTTCAGCTCCTAAAGAATCTGCCTTCAATGCAGGAGACCTAGATTTGATCCCTGGGTTGGGAAGATCCCTTGAAGAAGGAAAATGTTATTCTTTCCAGTATTCTGGTCTGGAGAATTTCAAGGTCACAAAGAGTCAGACATGACTGAGCAACTTTCACTTTCTTTTCACTTTTAGTTGTCTAAGAACTTGTTTGGATTATTTTCTTTGATCTTGAAAATATCTTCATTATTCCCCTTTTAATAAAAAATAAGAAAGGCATATTTTGCCAAAATTTACATTATTAGTGGCAAAGCTAAGATTTAACCTTAGAAGAATCTTTCTCTAAAAACTATGCTCTCAACCATTAGAATATACTGAAAGCTACCACCCATTCCTTAAAAATGCACATGAAATATATTAAACATAAAATCCTTACCAACAAAAGAAAAATTATAAAAATGGGGCTCTTAAAGTGAATGACTGGTTAAGCTTATAATAAAAATGAGTTTTTGTCATTGTGTCCAAGTGTGTAGTGTTTGCTGCACATCAGGCCAATAACTGGAGAGACAAGCTGTTAGGACAAGAAAGGGGAACTTTATTCAGAAAGCTAGTCGAGAGAGGATACAGTGGGCTGGCGTTTGAAAGGATCATCATCCATGGGTTTGTGTGCTAGTTTCTTTATAGAACAAAAATGGAAAGAGAAACAATGAAGGAGCAAAATTTTAAGAGGCAGTAAACTAATGCAAATATTTTCTACTTCTGGCCATACTCCAGAGGGCACGTGTTAATTTCTTATTTCCTGCAGTCATTCAGCAGTGGGCCTGGTCAGGATGTTTCCTTGAGCTAAACAAATGTATTTTATTTTAATATTCATGCATGGAAGGCAGTTTCCCTGAGATGAACCATTTCTTTTATATTCTTTAAGCTATAGGCAGCTTCCCTTTAGTGATTAACTTGTACCAATAGTAATAAAATACAAAGTTTAAAGTAAAAGAAGAAGATCCAGTAGGAGTCATATTTGTTCTTTTCTATTTCACAGACATCAATTCTAGTGCATCTTTTTTGCTCAGTCACTCAGTCATGTACCACTCCTTGTGACACCATGAACCGCAGTGCCCCAGGCCTCCCTGTCCCTCACCATCTCCCAGTTTGCTCAAACTTATGTCGTATCCAGTTTATAAAGACTGTATCTTTATAAAGAAGTAGAGTAAGAGCCAGGAATGACACAGCTATAGAAAGGAACAAAACTGAGTCATTTATAGAGACACAGATGGACCTAGAGACTGTCAGACAGAGTGAAGTACATCAGAAAGATAAATGCAAATACTGTATAATAACACAAATATGCAGAATCTGAATAAATTGATACATATGATCTTCTTTAAAAAGCACAAATAGAGACTCAAATGTAGGAAACATATAGATGCCAAGGGAGAAATGCAGGCAAGGGATGAATTGTGAGATTGGGATTAACATAGAGTATTGACACTATGTATAAAATAGGTAACTAGTGAGAATTTGCTGCATAGCATAGGGAGCTTTACTTATTGCTCTGTGGTGACCAAAACAGAAAATAATTCAAAAAAAGAGGGGATATATGTATACCTATATCTGATTCACTTTGCTATACAATAGAAAATAGCACAACATTGTAAATCAGCTATGTTGTTGTTTGGTCGCTCCGTTGTGTCTGACTCTTTTTGCAACCCTGTGAACTATAGGCTATCAGGTTCCTTTGTTCATAGAATTATTCAGGTGAAAATACTGGAGTGGGTTCTTCTTTTCTTCTCCAGGGGATTGTCCCTACCCAGGGATTGAACCCATGTCTCCTGCATTGGCAGAAGGATTCTTTATCACTGAGCCACCACAAATAAAAATTTTAAAACAGAAAATCCTTTTAGATTTACATAAAAATTGAGAACATATTTCAGAGAATTTTTATTTATTCTGCACAATTAGCATCATATATTATCATGGTACATCTTTTACAAATTAATAAGCCAATATTTCTACATTAAAAAAAGTAAAGCAGTATGAGAAAACTGACAATTACTTAGCTCTATATGGGCTAGTAGGGCCTCCCAGGTGATGCTAGTGGTAAAAATCCTGCCTGCCAGTGCAGGAGTCATAAGAGACAGGGTTCAACCCCTGGGTTGGGAAGATCCCTTGGAGAAAGTTATGGCAACCCACTCCAGTATTCTTGCCTGAAGAATCCTGTGGAGGAAGAGGCTGGAGGGCTACCGTCCCCAGGGTGGCAAAAAGTCGGATATGACTGAAATAGCTTAGCCCTCGTGCACACATATGGCCTGGTATTTAAAGATCTTCAGAAGGCTAAGTAGTACAAAGTTGATACACAGTGGCATCAATACAAACATATATGAAAACACATTTGTATTTGCAAAGATTATTAGTTGAATCTCAGAAACAAAGTGACTGCATCTGGGAGAAGACGGGGATACTGATTTGGGATATGTATGAGGTTTATTCTACTCTCTTTCATTTTTCATGGATTCTTTATTTAATATTTGTTACTGTTTATCATATTTTCAATTTTGACTTTAAAAAATATTACACTAAAAAGTTAAGTGGTAAAGCAAACGAAATTGAATAAAGAACATGGTCCATATAGCATTAAATAATTCAACTATTATAATCATTAGAATGAAGGTAAAAATAAGAATCTGACTTTAAGAATGAGAAAGTAATGAAAGTAAACCCAGAGTTTAGTTAAAAATCAGCGTATTCTATAAAAATTTCATTGACCAACATATTACCTTATTTATTGATACCTTAACTGTAAAGGCATTCCACCTCTCCAGGTGCAATGATTAAATCAGATAAACCAGATAGAGAGGTTACATGCTAGCAGAGAAATTGTCATTGTTTATGAAAAACAGTTCAGTTTTAATTATTATAAATCCTTTAGAAAGAAGGAAATCTTGTACCACATTTATAAAGATTTTCCATTACAAAGAAATTGGTCCTAAAGCTAAATTAGTTTCTTCATTATAGATATTGTACTTATTTAATATCTGATCTGATTTTTTTTCTCCAGAGCTTCTTCATAGCATTAGTCATCTCAGAATTTCTTAGACTGTAGATTAATGGGTTCAGCATGGGGGTTATGATTGTGAAAAACACACTCAATGATTTGTCAATGGGGAAGGTCTTAGCAGGTCTTACATACATAAAAATACAGGGAACAAAGAAGCAGACAACAACAGTGATGTGGGAACCACAGGTCTGGAGGGCTTTCTGCCTCCCTTTCTGACTCAAGTTCTTCAAAGAGTGCAAGATGACTGCATAGGAGATGAGTAAGAGCAGAAAAACAAGAGTGCAGATCAGTCCTCCATTGGCCAACACTAAGATGCCAATGATATAAGTGTCAGTACAGACGAGTTCCAATAAGGGGAACATATCACACAAAAAATGATCAATGACATTGGGGCCACAGAATGGGAGCCCATAAACAGTGCTAAGCTGAATTACTGAGTGCAGAAATCCTCCCACCCATGATACCATCAGCAACACAACACACACCCTTTGCCTCATAATAACCAAATAATGCAAAGGCTTACATATGGCCACATAGCGGTCATAGGCCATCACCAGCAGAAGGAAGACTCCTGACCCACCAAAAATGTGCTCTATAAACAGTTGACTCATGCAGGCTTCAAAAGATATGGTATTTTCCCCAAAGAACAAATCTGAAATCAATCTGGGTGTCATAGAAGATGAATAAGCAACATCCATAATTGATAAGCTAGCAAGAAAAAAGTACATTGGTGAGTTCAGGGTCTTACTGACAGTTATAGTCACGATAATGAGCAGGTTGCCCACCACAGTCAAAATGTAGAAGAGCAAGAACATAACAAAAAGGACTTTCTGTTCCTTTGGATTCTGTGTGAGGCCCAGGAGGACAAAGTAAGTTACATTGTTCCTTGATTCCATCTAGTCTGGACAGGAGCTGAATTTACATATTAGAAACTGTATACCTACAAAATAAGGGTGAGATTTTTTTAAGTGCATTATAAATTAATCACTTTATGTATCCATGCAATTACCACAATGTGTATAAAGCACCTATTTTTCTCCATTGTTTCAGAAAATGTGATCACCAAAGTGGATGTCATACTGTCCTACTCTTATTGATATGATACATAATGAGGCATTAAACAATTCTGGACCAGAGATGCCTTATAAGAACATTCACAGGATGCTAAAAGTCACAGGCTTCCCTGGTGGCTCAGATGGTAAAGAATCTCCCTGCAATGTGGGAGACCTGGGTTCAATCCCTGGGTCAGGAAGATCCCCTGGAGTAGGAAATGGTAACCCACCCCAGTATTCTTGCCTGAAGAATTCCATGTACAGAGGAATCCATAGGGTCACAGATTTGGATACAACCAAGTGACTAACACTACTATTACTCAGAGTCATAGTGTAGAGATATAGCAAACTTGATTCAGAGAATATTTCCTGGAAAAAAAAAGAACATTTCAACTGAGGTTTTTTTTTTTTTTTTAATACAGTAAATAAACTTTATTTTTCTGTTCTGAGATGACATTGCCAACAGTCACATGCTTGCATATAATACAGTTATGTATTGGCTATTTACAATTTAAAGTAGTATTTTTTCCTCTGAAAAATATAAGTACAAAAGCTAAGTAAACAATGAGATACTGCCATTTGGATTTATCATATGTCAGAGCTTAAAGACTAGTCTTTAGCAAATATTCAAGAAATCAATCTGGATAATCAACTGAGTTTTAAAGGAAAAATGATAGAACAGGAAAAGATGGAAAGGGAATTACATAAAAAGGTAAAACATTTCTGAAGTTCTGAAATTGTAATACTAAATACCCACATAAGCTATAAGTAATATACACATTCAGAGTGAGCAGCTCAATGATGAATAGAAGGTCACTGCCCTGTATTGCCGCAGAACTCACTGAGACTTTTCTTAGGGTCTTTAGTTACTATTCTTCTTTTTTTCTGACCAATAAATAGTGAAGCAGTCACATTTGTGTTTCCAGTTCATAAAGTGAAGTCACTCATTCGTGTCCAACTCTTTGTGACCCCATGGGAGGGACCCACCAGGCCCCTCCGTCCATAGAATTTTCTAGGCAAGAGTACTGGAGTGGGTTGCCATTTCCTTCTCCAGGGGATCTTCCCAACCCAGGGGTTGAACCTGGGTCTCCTGCATTTTGGGCAGATGCTTTACCATCTGAAACCACCAGGGAATTCCAGTCCATATCTCTAACCAAATTCCCAGGATTGTATAGGCAACATTTTTGGACCTCTTCAGTTGGATATAAGTTTAGTATTTATAAAACAAATGTTAAATTTTACACAATAAAAAGTTTTCTCCCATGTAATTGCATAGTCCCACCTTTGATGTAATTGTTCAGAAAAAAAAAAAAACAAAAACAAAACAGTATCTTTCACTCCCTTTTGGCTCTCATATTACTTATTGATACTTTTAACTAAATCCTACTGTTTCTATTTTTGAAATATAACACAAATTTGGTCATTTCCTGTCCCCCATTTCCTTCTTTTCCCACTGCCATAGCTTTCCAAATCTCTCCACTTTTATTCTGGCCTTCAATTTGTTCTCTGGAAGTAGTCCAAACTTTACTTTTTAAATCTTGTTCTTATCATATTACTCAACTGCTCTAAGCTCTAACAGTGGATTCCAATCAATCACTCACAATTTAATGTATCACATTTAACATTTGCCGTTAAAAGAACTGTAGCCACCATTTTGGGCTTACCTGGAGGCTCAGAGGTAAAGAACTCACTTTTCAAAGCAGGAGATGGATGTTCAGTCCATGGGTTGGGAAAATCCCCTAGAAGAGTAAATGACAACCCACTCCAGTAGTCTTGCCTGAGAAATCCCGTGAACAGAGGAAACTGGCAGTGTACAGACCAGGAGGTAGCAAAAAGAGTTGAACACAGCTTAGCACTAAACAGCAACAATTACCATTTTATAGTCTAAGAAAATGAGGTTCATAGCATCTAGCTAACTTCCCCAAAGTCAAGCAGCTTTAAGTGATAAAAGTAGAACTGGAACCTAATTTTGATTTATTTCAAAATGATTAAGTTTCCTACATAATAAAGTCACACCATTGTGAAGACTGGTTCCCACCATTTCCTATCAGTCTTATCTTGTGGAGGCTTACTCACAATCTGAAGAAAGCTTTTTTATGTTGCTCATAAAAAGCTGGAATTCTTCTATCTTATAGTATTACAACAGTGAAAGCCTGCATTATTACTTGAGGAAATATTTTATTACATTCAGCTCTCTATTAATTTTCTTCATGGAATCTTCTGATTATTCAGAAGATATTTTAATTGAATTGTAGATTGTTTAAGAGAAATACCATGGCAACTACAAAAAAACAAAGGTTTACCATGTTTAAATAATTTATTGAAAAGACCATCAAGCTCTATGTTTACACAGGAAGATAGCAACTAGCCATTTCCCAGGAAAACTTATCATAAGTAACTTACTTCCTTACTACCTTCAAAAAAAAAAAAAAAAAAAAGCATTCAGCTGTTTAGTCCTTCTCAATCAGTTCTGTTGTTGTGGCCAGACTAGTTGATTTGAGATTCTGAGATACATTCCTGTGCTGTTTCCTCTCTCTTTCTCTCTTTTGATATTTTGATATCCACATCTTCAGTTCTTTAAGCCTAAGAAGGCCCTTCTGAAAATGTTCTATCAGTTTTTAAAAAGATATTATCTTTTTTTCCCACTAGAGGCAAAAATCACTGGACATTTTATCCCTTCTAGTGACATTTATTATTAAGTCTTAGAATTGGAAAATGTCCAAGACTGATTCTTGCTTAATTAAATTCACTGGGATTTTCTACTACATTTTAAAAGTACACATGTATTTAAAGATACTACTATGCCAAATCACAGAATTAAGGTAACAATGATGGAGGGAAAAATCAGCTTCAGCACCGTTTTAAAGCTACTGCCAGCCAGGAACAAAATACCAACCCAATCATTTTGTCCCAGTGAATATTAGCTCATCGTGTATTTCTTCATTTGCCCTAGCACATTTTTCTTTTCTTTTACTTACTACTCAATTTATTCTACCCTACATTTGGCTTAAACATACAAAATTTTTATCAACAATTGAGATATAATAACTAGGTATTTATCCATTTTAAGAAAAAAATTAAGCATGTTAGTTGCTCAGTCATGTCTGACTCTGCGACCCCATGAACATGTCAGTTTCCTTTCTTAGGCTCCCATGAGCCTTCCAAGCTCCTCTATCCATGGAATTCTCAAGGCAATAATATTGGAGTGGCAGTCATTCCCATCTCCAGGGGTTCTTCCTGACACAGGGATCAAACCCTGGTCTCCTGCATTGCAGGCAGACTCCTTACCATAAATTGAAAAAAATAAAAGAGAGAGAGAGAGAGATCTATCTCTTATATCTAAATTGGTGATGCTGCTGCTGCTGCTGCTGCTGCTGCCAAGTCGCTTCAGTAGTGTCCGACTCTGTGCGACCCCATAGATGGCAGCCCACCAGGCTGCCCCGTGCCTGGGGTTCTCCAGGCAAGAACAGTGGAGTGGGTTGCCATTTCCTTCTCCAATGCATTAAAGTGAAAAGTGAAAGTGAAGTTGCTCAGTCGTGTCCGACTCTAATGACCCCAACCTTTCTTGGTTTCACCACCTGCTCCCTGAGCAAACCATCAGCATCACCCTCAGCACTAACACAGACACCATCCCTGTGGGCAGAGCTGCTCACAAATACATATATGTTGCATTTTTGTCTGTATGTGTGATCCAAATTATTGCGTCCATTAAATAATTAAAATTATTAACTCATCAAAACAGAAAGAAAAGCACTACCAAAAGTCTTTCTCAAAGGTAAGTAGCAGAAAAATAAAGTTAAAGAAAATTATTATAAGTGGAAAGCAGAAATACACATAATAATACACATATAGGCACACACATAGAAAACTGCACGAAAAAAGGAAAACATAAAATTTGTCTAAAACTTTTCTACATACTAGATGCTCCTGTTCCTCTTTTTTCTAAGAAATGTTTCTGAAACACACTTTCTTTTTTTTAATTTTTTTAATTTAATTTAATTTTATTTTTCATTTATTTTTATTAGTTGGAGGCTAATTACTTTACAGTATTGTAGTGGTTTTTGCCATACATTAACATGAATCAGCCAAGGATTTACATGTGTTCCCGATCCCCCCTCCTGCCTCCCTCCCCATCCCATCCCTCTGGGTCTTCCCAGTGCACCAGCCCTGAGCACTTGTCTCATGCATCCAACCTGGGCTGGTGATCTGTTTCACCCTTGATAGTATAGTTGTTTCAATGCTGTTCTCTCTGAACATCCCACCCTCGCCTTCTTCCCACAGAGTCTAAAAGTCTGTTCTGTACATCTGTGTCTCTTTTTCTGTTTTCGTTACCATCTTTCTAAATTTCATATATATGTGTTAGTATACTGTATTGGTCTTTATCTTTCTGGCTTACTTCACTCCGTATAATGGGCTCCAGTTTCATCCATCTCATTCGAACTGATTCAAATGTATTCTTTTTACTGGCTGAGTAATACTCCATGGTGTATATGTACCGCAGCTTCCTTATCCATTCGTCTGCTGATGGGCATCTAGGTTGCTTCCATGTCCTGGCTATTATAAACAGTGCTGCGATGAACATTGGGGTGCACGTGTCTCTTTCAGATTTGGTGAAACACATTCTTTCATTCACTCATCTCATGATCTGAACTGTAAGTCAAGATAAAAATTGTTGATTGCTCAAGACTTCCTCTTGAGGCTTTAATGTGTCTATACAGACAAAACAGGTGAACTGCTGACAATTTTTAAATATACTTGTCACTTTATATAAATGATTCAGTTATTTCAATGATTTAAAATTAGTAGTTTGAATTAATAAAAGCACATTTAATACTTAAATAAGT